GTAAAATACACGTTCACACAAATATTATGCAACTTCGTCTGACTGACTTGTGAGAACATTTATGGTTGATGCGTGCGCAAGTAGTAAGTTCCGCGATCTAGTCAGACCGTCTGCGGCGAAGAACGAAACCTCTCGCGCTTAAAAGCGCGCGCATATCTGGTTATGTTCATCTTTCAAAGATATCAATTTCCAATTATCTATACTCTTGTTCAGAAATAAATTTACAGCGTTATCTCTAAAACCAATGCTTAAGCGTCGATAACAGCGTGATGGTCTGAAAAAAAAAAAGAGAAGACTGAGGAACAATTATAGTAAGACAATTATTAAAATTGTAGATTTAGGACAATAGCATATTGTAGTAGTACAAAGACTACAAAGTGTTGGTGAATGATTGGGATAGCTGCGAGATGTGTGCGCTGGAGTATTTCGAGCTCGTGCCGCGAATCTCAAGGTGAGCCACACTTAAGCGCAAGGAAATGAGACGCGAACCCGTCGTAATTAAGAACCCGGTGCGAGAAACGCGCGCGGAGGAACGGAAAACGGAGGAAACGATTAAGGGATATAGGTCCAGGGGCGAGGAGGTAGGGGGTCGCATCGGCCGACTGGAAGTTTAACGAACTCGAACAAAGAGAAAGAGCCTTCAGCAACGAGGGACGAGAATTGACGAATGGGATGCTGCTGGCGCTAGCTCTGCCTCCGCCAGGTTAGAGCAGAGGGTGCGCACGTACATTTTCTCTCTCATTCCCGTCCCTCTCTTACTCTTTCTCTCCCTCCCCTCCCCCTCTCTCTCTCTCTCTCTCTCTCTTTCTCTCTTCCCCGCGCTTGCTTTAGCCATCACGGAATAGCAGCGAGCCCCCGTGTATTACGAGCCAGCCACCCCCATAACACTACCCCTTGGTGCTGTATCGATCCATCGCGGTGCCAGCTTCGAGCTCTCCCTCCAACAGCCAACGCCAGAGACTTCGGCGTTGTGCGACGCGACGCGACGCGACGCGAGACGCGACGCGTCGCGTGGCGGGATTGCTTGAACAAAGGAAACGCGATGCTGTTGTGGAACCTTTGCGGCTTTTCTTTGTTTTCCGTTGACGGGATACTCCGGGACTCTCGCGTCTTTCTCGGTCGTTGCGTATTTACCGGGCGAAAAAGCGCCTCGTGCGATGCCAACGCGCTCCTCTTGAAATTCTCCTTTATTCCTGAAATTAAAACGATTAATGTACGACGAAGATTTTTAATTATCACTAATGGCTTCTGACCTTAACTACGTTAGATAACCCGGCGATATTCAGGAATTGTCGGCTATTGTGCTACCTCAGTTAGCTCAGTCAACAGTTCGGGCTTTGCTCGCCTTTGTTAGCCTTTCGCCGCTAAAATAACATTCGCCAAGGAATTACTGACTAACTCGGAATTCTTAATGGTGATTTAACAATTGTAAAGTGATATCAAAAGCCCGATAGAAAAAAAAAGAGTACATTCTTGTAGGATAACAGGGATTTAAAGATTTGGAGGACAGTTGAAATTAATATATAATTCGGAATTAAGTTTTGAAACAGCCCGAGCAAAAGTAACAATAAATTAATAAGATTTAAATGAAGTTGTATTTTCGCAAAACTATATTACTCATTCAACGATATATAAACAGACGTTTAATTTAAACATAGCATCGAGCGGCATTATTGAAGTTTCCACTTCATCCTTTCTGTCTCGAGCAGTTTCTAGATATATGCTAACGAATTTCGAACGAACTTTTACGTTTAATTCAAAGTATACAGCTACGTTTCTGTTCTGTTCGCATATTAAAGAGCCTCCATTAAGGAGGATCTCTATCACGGTACGTACTTCGTAAAGAAACCACCGAGCAGAGAAAAAACCGTACAACTTTGGTTAATCCTCTTTGTCCGTCGTCGGGCAATTTAAGTCTCGCGATTTGTTTCCCGATTCTATACATATATGACAAAAGCTATGTTCAGTATCTTTATTTGGGATCAAAAAGATTTGTACAGTGTCACGTTTTCGGAGATTATATTTGAATATTTTGCGAAAACTAATCATCGGCATTTTGCTCGCGAACGAATATCTACAAGGATTGCAATTTTCTTTGAAGAAAGCAGTTTAAAAGTTTCAAAAGAGCTGTACGAAAGTTTAAAACACCTCCGAGAGATCGATGTATGTACCTCCAGTTATCCGCATAGACGTATGACGTCATCGTATCTAACATATTAACGTTCAAACGCCTTAAACAGGTCGGTGAATCGCACTTGACACGTTAACATGGCATTACGTATGGAGGCGCATGTTGAATGCAACGTGAGCGCGATACGGAATAAGCGCGGGTATCGCGCGCGCGGCTCTGCCCGACGTTTTGTCGAGCGAGACAAATGGATCCTTTTGGAGCATTGACTACCGGCAACGTATTTGCCAGCCGCCACTCCGCGCCGGCGGAATTGTTTTGTCGGCTTAAAGCGCCGGCCAGGGTGTTTTGTTCGGTTCAGCGGCTCGAGCGTTTCCCTTGTTTCGCGTCTGCCGCCGCGGAACCTACGCCGTCCCTCTCCTCCACCTCCCCCCCCTTTTTCCTCTCGACGTCCCGCGCGTACACGGCACTTCCGCTTGAATCCTACGTTTTAACATTCGTCAGAAAGGAAAGCACTCTCGTTAAGCGAAATTAACCCAGTTCTGGACGTCGCACGAGTCGAAGCGGGGTTGCTGTAACACGAAAATGTTTCGTTGCGGATAATAATGGCGATTTCTCTTAGACTCGATGTATAAGCCTAGTAACACTGAAGCAAATATCGCCCGCTAAATATTGTAATAATTACGTAATACATATTTTAAAAGTTTTTTGCGCGAATTCGTTATATAGAGATTTACGAGATATTGAGTATTGTTATATACAGAGAAAATTTATATATACATATTAATAAGTTCTTTACATGCCTGGGGAGAGGGGAATTTATAGATGCATAATAGCATCAAAAGATATTAAATTGTTTGTCAATTTAATTATAAGTTACGAGTTTCCGACTTCACGCAAAGAGCTGTGTTTCAAGTCCGACAAACCGAGCGGCGCGCAGATCGAGTATGGTGGATATTGTAACTTTAAGAATTTTAACACGCCAACATCCGTGTTGGCTCTTATAGGCTATTTTCACTTTACTATGGATTTATTCTTTAGAGCCTATTGCTTCTAATTTAATTTATATTATTAATGTTATAAAGGACTGTTCTAGTGCCGAAATATAAAACCTCGCGCTATTTTCGTATCCGTATAATATATTTTTATTAAAACAGCTGCTTCAGTGTACACTGACAATCGCCATTGAGAATTTTCAAATAAGTCGAACGAATGCCGCGATATCTTTCCTGTCGTGTCAATAGCATTGGGCAAATAGCCCCGTGATTCCGATATTTTATGTCAGTCTTTGGTTACACAGCGTATATATACACATATATGTATATGTATATATGTATATCGGAAAAAGGAAAGAAAGGAAAGGGACGATCACACAGAGTGCGAGCGCGAGCGTTATTCTCAAAGGGATGAGGGAGTATATCCGAGAGATAGCACTCGCCTTAGCAGATCCATTAAAGCACCCTCACCGAGCTTAAATCACCCTTCTTGCATATAAGAGCACGGAAGCGAAGGACACTCCTATCTTCGTTCGATTAAATGTCTCGAATTTCGGGCGGTGTCCATAAGACACAATCGTACGCACGAGCGCATTCATCCGACGCGATGAATTCGCGCGGAATTTCGAGCGAGCAAGGACACCGGGCAGAATTTTCCAACGCGACTGATCGTTAGATGCTCGCCTCCTTTTTACGCTCGAAGCGGCACGCGCCCGTTATACGTCTCATTAAACGAACAGACCGCCTCTGCTTCTAAACGCATTATCTGTGGCACAGTTAACTACGGATCAGCGATTAGAGGAGGCAGGCGAGATTCCGGCGATATAGAAAGAACCTTTTACCTTACTAATTTTACCGTGGCTTCAACGGAAACGGCAAGCGAACCGTTTTTCCGTTTTTTATGTATCAATTAAGATAAATCTTCGTCCGGTCGGATTACACCTGCATTTTCTCTCGTTACGTAACACACGCGCCGCATCTCGGAGTATATAAGATCTCGCCTGACGATAATGAGCGAGCACCCGATCGCGCGCGAATCGCGAATCGCGTAACGCGCACGTATTTCTGCACGACACGGCGATACGTAAGAGATGGGGGCCTCTCTTCGTCCGAGCGACGAGCGCGGCAAATCGCTCGTTTCCTGCCGCTCACGAACGAGAAAGTTCATTCCTCCGCCGCCGTCGTGCATTCCTCGCGAGACGAGGCACGACGGCGACGTTTGCAGCGACGGGAAAATAACGAGAGTCTCCTTTGCCCGATCTGAGTTTTGTTCTTTTCTCTCCCTCTGTCACTCTCTCTTTCTCCTTCTTTGACGCGTATTTGCACAAATAACGTTTCACGAGTTTTATTTTTCCATCATTAGCAATAGATAAAATACGATCGCTAGACTTGTACTGCGAGACCGACAAATCGCGCTCTCTGAAAAAATCTGGCTTCCATTTCTATTTGTTAGAATTTTAATAGAGTTATGCGTTTCTCGTTAGAAAAACGGAATAGATGTACAATGAACGAAATACACTTCACCTTTCGACTGCTATATTTGTTCACGATGACACATGCGATTCTATATCAGATCGATTATTACCGCGAATTTGTCTTATCTCGCCTACCCACCTAACGGTGATTAATGTATTACGTGTTGCGAACTCGTGCTACTCGATTTATTTATATCTTTTCGTCACACAATCGCGAAGTTAAAGTAAAAATTGTAGCAATGATATTATTATGGGATAGAATCACGTCGCGTGATGACGAATGAATAGCACAGTGTGGCCCGTGTGTTCGAACATAGCATTTTGCGTGCCACATGTTCCATGTAACATACGTTTCCGTCCCGATAAGATTGATAAGGTCTCGAATGGTGGGATTGCCGCCTGAGCTCGTTTACGCCCAAAGTATCGGCACGTTCAGTGATAATTCTCACTTAAACGTGTCGCCACGCAAACCGTCACTCGTGCTATTTAATTATTCGTCATAGCGTGACAGTGCGACAGCGGGCTTCGATCAAGGAACAATAATGCCTGGTAAGCGGTGACACTGAATGCTGTAGAAGTTCCAAAATAGACGATACGAATAAAAATAGTAATAATCAAATCACGAAGCAAGTACAAAGTTCGTTTTATTAATTATCTTAAGATGTATTTTAAAAATGATGATTTTTTTTAATGTGCTATTAATTAAAATAACAAATGTGCAGTTGATTTAATAATTATACTCAACTCGATAGTTTCTTGAATGTTTATTTGCTTTACCTAATTTGGTAATGAATATCTTGAGATCTCTCGTAGTTTTATAATTATAACCAGAATTATAATTTTAATTATAACAAAATAATTTTATAATTGCAGGGGTCTCTTTTACTCGTTTATTATAAAAAAAGTGTTAGAGAGAGTATAATATTTCGACAAGTATCGACAAATATGATAGGCCAACGTGGAAGTGAATCATCTTTTTGTTATTTTTAAACTTTTTTTGTGATAAGAAATATAATGAAGCCCTCATCATATGTTGTAACGACGTTAACGATTACTTACTTATTTGCTGACTTGTGACACGTAATTGATGCGATAAGAAGCGGCGCGATAAATTATCATTCAAAATCTAGAAAGGTCAACGTTAGGTCTGCTCTTTGTAGCTCACCTACACCTGGTGCACTCGTTGTGCTTGAAATGAAATAGATATGTATTTCGAATTTTGGTAAAAGTGAGAAAGAAGATTTTAGCGTGCGGTCCAGTGCGGCGGCAAAGAACAGGCTTATATTATGACTAGCGTGGAAGTATCGCGAGCATTCGGTGATTTCTGTCGTAGGATACAGATGGGTCAGATGGCCGCCATCCTTCACCGATCGTCACATGATGATCAGCATCGGCAGGGACCTGGACGGCATGAATCTCGTCGTAGGTCGTGCGATGCATCAGGGTGACATGCTGCCGGCGAAAGTGAAGCCGGATCACGGCGTCGCCTACGTGTGTCACGGAGGTAGCGAGCACATGAAGCACGACTTCGAGGTATAACCCGGTAGCGGAGAAACACAACGGATTCGATTTTCTTCGTTGTTTCGCACGTTGACAACACGACGAGAGTCGGAATTCCGAGCGAAATTCTGTTTCCCTTCCAATTATCGTGAAATATGAGGTTCCAATTACGCGCCGCCGCCGCCGCGTTGATCGAACGCCTGCATCAATTATTGTCAACGCGTGTCAATTATTTTCATTTAGCTATCTTTTATACGCTCTCGTAATTTTAATCAATCTGCAATTACGTAACGCGCACTGCATTTTTGCTGTGTCTATGTGTAGATACAGTTTACGGGCGCGCTGGTGTTTCGTAACACGCCGTTCGTCCTTTCCTTAATAAGCGAATTAAAGAGTTCGCGTAAAAACCTTACGTAACGTGTAGCGCACGTAGCGACGCCTTTATCTTTATATCCCTGGCACATCTCGTTTCGTCGGCGGAGATAAGATTACGACTGGACGAGGTGTGTTAGCCGCGGATATTTGCACGGCGATATTCCAGAAACGATCGAGCGCGTTTTATTGCCCCGATAAATCCTGTCCCAGTTTCTCTTCACTGTCCATTTTCACGCTATCCTTTCCTTCCGTGACGAAGTAGTAAATCGGAGACACCTTATAAGTATACGAATCCAATCGACATGCATAATGATGAATTTATAATCCCACCGATAGTCGTGATCGTGGGGCGTTCACTACCTATCCTTCGTGAAAATAATGGCCGGTGGACAAATATTGACAATTTTCCGAAGATGCGTTCGGAAAAACGAAAGCGTAAGGATAGCGGATACCATACGAATCGTATCGTTTAGTATTGATCGGTAGCGGGATTCGGCGCGTAATACCGAAGTACATCCCTTCGATCTCGCATTAGGCGAACCCTCTGTTTGCCATTTGGCGTGCACACGTCCATTGCGCTCGTTCGCGACTCAATTTCTTCTCAGCTCGGCTTACACAGCCGCGCGGTCGCCCGCGGGTTAATCTATCTGCGACTCCGGGTGCAGAAATCGAGAGGGAAGTGCGAAGTACACCGCACTTCATTCGTCGGATTCGAGATTTTCCTTTCTCCTCCTCCTCCCCCTCCCCGTCGCGTGATTCAGACGGATGTAATTCGAAACAACGCTGGCTTTCGTTACCTTTAGGTATTGATGCCCGCCCATTTCAACTGGATCCGATCGAGCCACGGTCACGTACCGGAAAACGCGGTGGAGGCTGGGAGGACCATGAACGGGGAAATGCTCTTCGTCGGCCGTACTTTTCACAATGGGGTGCCCTGCGTAGGAAAGGTATACGCTAGAAACCGGAACGGTCTGTTTGACTTGCTCAACCGCTCGTTAACTTCAAACGAGACAAATACAACTGCGCGAACGATCAGGAATATTTCACATACCTATACCAGTATCTATTGTTTGACAGGTCCATAGAAGTCACGGTGTTATGTACATTCCGTTCGACGGGAAGGAAATACCGTGCAGGGAGTACGAAGTCTTGGTGCAATGTTAAACCTTATCTATATACAATCATTGTCGTGACACAATATCGCGACAAAACATTTTCACCTGGAACCATTATGATTGACAAATAATGGTTTATGATTGCAGGAAAAGAAATTATTTCTATACATAAGTCATATGCTTTAGGATTAAATATATTTTACGTCGTATTAACAGGAGACAAATACGTGTGATTTATAAATATTTATAAATATTCTGCTTAATGTTGCTATTTCGTTTCTTTTCTTATTTATTTGTAAATACTGTTTGCGGAACGAAACAGTTGATAAACAGTTTACCGTAAATGGCGAATAGCGTTTCGAGACATATCTCCGCGTCTGTTTATGAGGCTTTCCCGAGTTAAAGTTAGATTAAAATTTTACAAAGTTGGCGACGGAGAATCGCGCGCGTGCGCGCGCGCGAGAAAGAGGTAGATAAAAGAGAGAGAGAGAGAGAGAGTTTCTTATCTACCCTCGCTTAAGTTCTATTAGCATGTAGAGAAAGTAATTTATCGACGGTTAAGTTAAAATGCGGAAGGAAAGGGCATAACGGGCCACGCGACTGCCGGCGATGGCGTCGCCGTTTGCACTCCCCTCTTGTAATTCTGGATCGTAATTATGGGCGCGTTATGGCCTAATCGCGATTCGTCATGTCACTCGGGTCTTTCGATTTTATTTTTTACTCTGACGACGCGATGCGGCATCGAATGATTCAGCGGCACGTAAAAAACGTGAGTCAGAGAATATATACTGTCGTTCTCGCTGAAACTTCACAACGGGCCCCATTACACACTAATCTTATATTCTGTAATTTTCAGTGGAAAACGAAGACACGATAAATATTAACGTCAAATAAATTCTTGACCTATTTTATCTACCAGATAAGATAAAGATTATAACCTTGAAATAAGGAGTGAATTTTAGAAGAGGATAATTATATATAATTGACGTAAATAATTTATGCTGTTTATTACGACGTCGTACATTGAAAACTTGAAATACATTGAAAGTACACAGCAGTCCACAGAAAAGTAGCTCGGGTCAAGAGTTTTATCAGTAACAGAAGATCAGTAACAAATTTCTAGCGAAAATTTTTCGCTAATATATGTATATATATATACGTCGTTGATGAAGATTATATATTCAGCAATTTTTACTTTAATATAACAAAACAGATTAACACGCGTAATATTTGTGTATTTTATTTTAATAAAAGAACATTTATTAAAACCGAGATACTTCCCCTTGGACTTTGTGTAACTGCCGCGGAGCTACTCGATCGTCAATTACCACGCATTTACTTAATCGCGGGGGATAAGTTACACACACACACATACACACACAGAATGGCTGCCTGTTTTCTCATCGGTGGCGATTCAATTTTCACGCTCCTCAGCTCAGCCGAGATCCGCGCTCGAGATAAATCCCAGATGCAAATAAATATTGCCGACCGCGCGAGGGAGACGAAATTGGAAGCGTACTTAAGCCGTCGCGCGACGCAACCAGTGGTCGTTTTCTGCCGCTACACCCGATAGGTGCTGAGCACGTGGCCGTTGCGGCATTATATTCCCATGGTCGGCACGTGGCCGTTCGCTCCTTCGTTTCCACCTCCTCCATCTTCTGCCCCCTCCCCCTCTTCTTCTTCTTCCCTCTTCGTCCCCCTCATTGTTCCGGGCCTCGAAGCGGAATTGTCAAGGGGGGGGGGGGGGGTTGCTATTTAATATTTTGATCGAGGAAAAGCGCGCGTTTGCACAGGAGCGGAGAGAGGGGGAGGGGAGGGGGAGGGACAGGCGGAGGAAGAGGCTTGCCCACGTGCGACCGATCGTCCCCTTTTGATTAATTTCGGCTCGGATCGACTGGCACGAAGCGAGTACGACGCACGACAAAGGAGCCCGGGGGCGAGCACGAGCGAGAGGGGACCAAATAAAAAAAAAAAAAAAATGGCAACAGCTGGCAGCGAGACCAGAATCGGGCGGACAATGCTGCTTAGGTCGAGGGGCGAACCACCCCTCTCATCGCCGAGTCGCCGACGCGAGTCGATTGACACGCGCGCGATCATCCTCGCGTAGTATGCGCGTTACGCCATAATCGACGTTGCGGATGCGCGAAAGGGGAGCGACGTTTATTAAGCCCGCGGAGGGGGCTCCGAATCCGGCTCGGCCGGAGAGAATTTTCAATGAGAACAATGATAGGAGATTATTTTTAGGGATATGCGAACTCCCCTCTCCTGATAATTTCCGGGGTATTTGATAATGAGGTTCTCTCTCTTCTTAGGCGAGAATTCGATCAAACGCCGCGTCGTGCGGCTGTCGTATTTCGTATATCGAGCTCACAAGTTTGATGCGGAACGCCGCTTCAAGATATCTGTATCCGGATTTACAAATATTGGTAGATCGTCGAGACCATTTCTTGAAATAAAAAAAGTTCCTTCCCCTCCAAGTTTACCTTTTGCGTTATCGTATCGGTTTCCGCGATATCGATATAGGTGCACGTAAGTGAATAGTGACTTACATCACGAAATAAAAGACCTCACGTCGATCGTTTTCACGTCTACAATTTTCATCGTTCCCTCTATCGTACCTCTTTCGCGCTCGATTGAGTCCTTTCCTTCTTTTTTCTTCTTTTTTTTGTTTTTTATTCACGTCTGCGACCCGGACATCGTTGGCGCTCGCGTATCGATATACCGTCTCGATAAATCCGCGCTTATTGCGGTTTACGTCAATCGTATCGTCGAAGCGCAACAAGGGAAAACTCGTTATAGAAGTATCCACTCATAATATTGCCGTTGCTCGACATGTGTGTTGAAATTTTCGATATTCCTCCTTACGTCTTCGATATATATTTTCAGAGCGCATGTATGTATATTTCGCGGATCGTTTTAGATTAAAGTAGAACGAGTTTCTCAGTCCGTTATAAAATTAAAAAAAAATGTATATTTGTATATGTATAAATCGATCGTTTTGAAAAAAAAAATGGAATTGAAACGTCCCGATGGTAGGGACATCAATGGCGCGTTCAATTTGTTCGCATTAAGCCTCGTACATGGAAACGTATACTGTCGCGACACTCATTTCATTTAGGTAAACACGTTTTTGGGAAGCTGCACGGGTCAACTCGTAGCGACGAATCCATCAACGCATACGGCACGGTAGATACGGCAAGAACCAGAATCGGGATCCGGGTTCGAGAGCGGCGAGGGAGAGAGGACAGCTGTTCCCCCCGCTGCGTCGAGAGTACAGTGGCAGCTGCTGTTTCAAGCGAACGTATTGAGAATCCGCCGATTCCACGATAGGGTGAGCCTATGGCCAAAACGATACGTGAAACTGGCAATCGTGTGACTGGTTCCGACAATAATAAAATCCCGTTTTATCGAGTAGAATGACGTTAAAGAAGTCGTACCTAAAAGAATAACACACATTCTCTCTGTCTGCCTTTATCTCTCTCGCTCTTTTATGCTTATAATTCCTGTGCTAGAAGCGATTATAAATTTGCAAAATATATTTTTATCTTATATATTTTTATCTTCAAACTATTTTATGAATTTCATCGAACACGAGAAACTATTATCAGATACGTGAAACTTTTTTTTTTCCTTTTCCACGAACTTGCCCTAGCAACCACCGAAATTTAATCACAGCATTTTAACGATTAAACGAACTTTAAAAGAGAACAGAATATTGGATTCCAAATCGAGTTTAGGCGCACTTCGAATATGTGGTCCGTTCCGAGTGTTCCTCCAAACAAATGGAAGTCAATTTTCCGAAAATCTTGACGTACAGCGCTGGCAACCGAGCGCCTCTCGTTGCTCTCTGTTTTAATCTGATTATATCGCACTACCGATACTAATCAATTTAAACGACAGAGCGTGTATTTCCCATTTACGGGGTCGGCGAGGCGAACGTGCGCAGAACGACAGCTCTCGTTTCGCGTGCTTAGCGAACATCCATTATTCGCGGTCCATGCGCGAGCGAGCTTTTCATTGCGTTGCCTGCAACAGGCACGCGCGCGATGCGTATTACGCGATGATAACGGGATTTGCGCTCTCTCGCGCGCGATATGTGCGCGTATATACCAGCCCGCATTTTCGGTTTTTTTCTTTTCTTTTTTTTTTTTTCAGGACGAACCTTTTTCCTTGTCGGCCGATCATCGCCAAGTTGGCACGGGCCCCAGCCACGCACCAACAGGTTAGAGGGTTACCAGGGAGCAACCCGCGCGCGAGGGGGGGCCCTTCCGTCGGTTACCGGGGGTCACGGGGTGGTCCTCGCGCGATTCCGCGGGTTTCTCTCCCCTTCGTCCATTCTCGCTCGTGCCGCCCTTCCCGTCTGCAGCTGCGCCGCAAAAGCGGGGCCCCAAACACCATCTGCCATTAGAGGCTGCACGCGTGCACACGCGTCTCGTCCGCCGCCTCCTCCCTCCCCCTCTCTTCCCCTCCCATCAACCCCCCCCCAACCGTGTAATGGCCTCGTAACAATACGGAATGTACTAAGGCCTCGATTGCTCTCGTGAGGACGGTTTCTCTCCTATTCGGAGTTATAAAGAAAATATCCGAGCGCGTGCAATTGCTATAACCGCGATTCATTCTCCGTCATTTATTGGTGCGAATTATAGCGAGAATAAGAAAGGCGAACAGAAGTGACGGGAATTTCTTGAAATTAATAACACTTGTGTATTTATTGATCGCAAAGAAACATTGATAACATTTTCTTTTATTAATTTGTATATTGGCGTTTGACGTAATTTTTCTTTGCTGTATAAACATATGAGATTTCGAAAAACGAATTGTTTTCACAACGCTCTTTTTAAATATGATGTATGTGATTTTTTGTATAAATATCTCTTCATATACTGCATACATACATACATACATACATATATATACGTATATATGTATGTATATATATATATATATATATATATATA